TGAAAATTTACATAAAAAAGACTAAAATGCGTGTGTATGTATATATACATATAAATAAATATATAAATGTATATATACGTCAAGCCTTTCATCGAGGTGTGTGTGTGCGTGTCTTAACTATGTTCAACGTTGGCGGCTGTAGAGCAACCGCTTAAGCTTACCATATAACTGTAGCTGCCACTGTCATTGCCACCGAACACAGTGTGGTGCCTATAACCACTAAGCTAGCAAATCAAGCGAAAACAACCAAACGAACAGACAAAACTGCAATATATTGCTGCTCTTATAACCACATACAACTATTATTAACAACATTACCACTACAAGTACTACTACTACTACGACTACTTCTTAAGCATTCTACCATTCATCTCTTAGGTAAACCTTTCACAAAAACATGCTCTCTCTCCAGCATCTCCCATTTTATGCGTACTTCATGGTGTTGGTTTGAAATCTTTGCTTGATGTCCGTTTTCGTTTTTTTTTTTTTTCTTTTCTTATGTCTTTTCATCTTAACTCAAACCTAATTAAATCCGGTTTTTAAACGCGACTTCTCTACCGTTTGGTACTCCCTCCTTAAGTAAGAGATTCCCCCGCCCCCCCCTCCCGTTTAACTCGCTCCTTCTTCTATCATTACCGTTTAAGTTCTTTGCACGCGTTTCTCTCCGTTTAAAGCCTCTGCCATGAACGTTACGTTGAACATCTCATCGAGTAAAAGAAGGCCTCCAGCTTTTTATCTTAAGCTTACACGCATGCATACATACAGATTCTATTTGTCTCGTGGTTTTTGTGTTATAATATTTTATTAAGTTTTTTTTTTTCTTTTGCATTAAAGCTTGTCCAGGTTTTGATGGCTGGTCGTTTCTTCTTTCTTCCTTTCGTTTGAAATTCTTTTTCTTTTTTGGGGCTTTTGTTTGGATTTTTATCTCTTCTTTAATGCTTAATATTCGTTCTTACGACAAAATGTTTGTTGCTCGTATATATTTTCCATTTTTTCGACTCTTTGTTATTGCTGTTGTTGTCGATGATGTTTAACAAAATTCACCATCTCGATCCCAGATTTAAATGCTGGTTTCTTTTTATTGGTTTCTTTCGTTACACATTCTCTTTTAGATCCTAAAACAGTCAAGTTTTTTCTCCTTTAGCTATTTAAAGCTTACGTTACATTTTTAACTTTCTTTACTTTAATTTTTCTTTAATTATTCTACTTGCGCAAATTAACCCATTTTCATTATATTTTCGAAAACTATATAAGAATTCGGGATAAGAGGTAAAATCGAGATATTCCTTTCTTTCCGCTCGTATTACATTTTGACCCTCTACAGAATTAATGAAGAAATATATTTTATTAAAACAAATATAATACATAGAAAGAAGTGTATCATCCTCAGCAGTTTTTCTTTATAGATTCCAAGCCGACTTAGCCAAATTCTTTTGATTATCTGTCTATCTATGGATTTTTGTAATATTTTAAGTCGTAAATATCTAGTAAGAAAATTAAAATGTGCCATATATTTTCTTGCTTGGATTTCTTACTTACTTTCTTCCTTACGAGCTGGTAGGGGGACGATGTTTGTTTCGTTTTGTTTACACTGGGTCTAAAAGGCTGAAAGAGTTTCGGATTAAAAGCAACTCATTTTGAGATGCTTTAGCCAACTTATCATTGAATATTTCGAACTAAAGCCCATGTGCCTTCTTTGTTTTTAATCGCGCTAAGTAATAAAATTGAAATTTTAAATTAATTGATAAAAATACGAGGAAAAATGCGATTACAGTGAATAGTTATAAACCTTTGCTAGGGGCACTTCTCATTGATACATACAGTGAGTCATTTCAAATTCGACGTAAATTCAATTTAATTTCAAATCAAATTATATTCACTTTCGATATAAATTCAATTCAAATTCAAACCCAATACATTTCAAATTCAGTTGCAGTTTAATTCAAATACAACCCACATTTGATTTCAATACAAATTCTATTCACTTCCGACTTAAATTCAATTGAAACTCAATTCCAATTCATTTGAAATCCAATTGAAATCAAATTCTATTCACTTTCGAATTAAATTCAATTCCAATTCATTTCAAATTCAATTAAAGCTTAATTCAAAGAAAATCCACATTTGATTTCAGTACAAATTATATTCACTTTCGATATAAATTCAATTCAAATTCAATTCCAATACATTTCAAATTCAGTTGGAGTTTAATTCAAATACAATCCACATTTGATTTCAATACAAATTCTATTCACTTCCGACTTAAATTCAATTCCAATTCATTCCAAATTCAATTAAAGCTTAATTCAAAGAAAATCCACATTTGATTTTAGTACAAATTTTATTCACTTTCGATTTAAATTCAATACAAATTCAAGTCCAATTCATTTCAAATTCAATTCAAATTCAATTTAAGTTCGAAGAAAATTCTCTTTTCTTTTGGTTTAAATTCAATTCATTTTAATGTTCATTAAAACTCAATTTGAACTCAATACAAGCCCCATACAATTCCAATTTAAATTCGATCTAATTTTAATATAAATTCACTTCAAATTCAATTCATATTCAATTCAGTTGAAACTAAATTCAAATTAAGCTCAATTTCAATTGAAATCCTTTCCCCTATGCACCATCGGGACGCTCAAAACGTTAAAATTTGCCCTCTTCCCATATCTTTCAAGGGTCAGAAATCTGTTAAGATTCAAAAGGGTTCACCGCGGCATTTTCCTAAAGGAAACTTTGATCATTCAGTGCATAACGAACACAATAAAATCGTACGGTAGAGAAATAACGACTGCTAATACATAATATTTGGAAACGTTTATCATAATTAATTGTAATAATTAATTTATCATAATTTTTCATAATGAAATCCCATTTTTATTAAAAAAAAATTGCTTAAAATTAACGTTTATTCCTTATGTTTCTTGTAAGTCTTTGCAGCGATTTCCAAATCTTACATTCGTCCAACACAAAAAGATTATCAGCTTAATACGGCAAAGAGTTTGATTTTTATTCGAAAATCAACTTAAAAATAATTTCTTTTATTATGCCTTGCATCACTTCTAATTCAAGTGTTCCACCCGTGTTCGGATGTATGCAACACCCGTAAGGTGTTGAGATAGATCTTAATTTCACTATAACTGTCGAATCAGAATCACTAACTGAATCAATTTAAGATTGTCCGTCCCGCTACTGTCGACTGTCTCACTTGTCTTGATTTAAGATATTTTGATGGAATTCGGTATCGTGGTATGTTTCGGCCTAACGACGAACCCTATTGAAAATGGATTGGGTCCGACTACTTGTTCGAAGTTTAAAATGATCTGATGAATCTATATGAATAAGCATAGGGTAGTGTAAGGTATTTAATAGCGTGTCATGACCCACTACAGCGCTTTTCCTTATTCAATTTAAATTTTACATTTTGCCTGAAACAATTTCACGCATATGTTGACGTTTTCCTAAGAGAAAGATAGATACAGAAATTTTAATGCAACAGCAGCGTCTTTATATCACAAATACTATAAGCGTTAGGCTAAAAAATTAGCTTAACTTTTTATTACATTACTTTGCTGAGGTTATCATATTATTATATAATTAAATGTTTATTTATTTGTTTAGAAGAAGAATAGCATACTGCAAGCATATCTTTTTTTCTTAATTTCTTATTATTAGATGAAATTTTCCTTTTCTGTTTTACCTGTTTAGGGCTCGAAAAACTCCACTTAAAACAACGATTTATTACGAGTGACTAAAAGGTGCAATGTTTAATATTTATATGACTAAATGTATCTGGAAAATATTTTCCTCTTTGTTTTTTTCATTTCTTAACAATAAATAGCTTATAGTATATGACATAAGAAAAGAGGAGGGGTAGAGCTTTCCAAAGCCCTCTTTTCGTTCACATCAAAAAAGTCCCCAACGTTCGCAACACCCAGATGGGAGCTTCAGAGACTCCTTAATATATTTAGACTCTTGATCAACATTCAATGTCGAATTGATTTAAGTATGTCCGTCTGTTTGTCTATCCGTCCGCCTGACTGTTTGCTGTAAGCATTCCGCTGACCACAAACGAATGGCTGAACGAATTTTTCAAATTGGACGAAAAATAAACCTACAGTGCAAAACGCATTTAGAACATTTCTGCTTTCTGGATTTTTTTACTCACTTTACAAAAATTTCTACGAGTATTCTACGAAAGTCGAAGAAAATGGCCACGTTTATCCAATGTGATGGGGTAAAAAAGTTTAGTTATCATGTTTTTCTTTTGATTGGCAATGAATGTGTATAGTAGATACGCTCACAATAGATCATAATTTTCTTCATCCGAGGCCCTGCAATGGCAATTTTCGACAATCATAATTACTATTATTATAAATATCGGTCTATTAAGGCTCCTGTAAGTGACTAAACATAAATAAAAAATATCACAATTTTTTTCCCAAAGGAAATTGTTTTTTTTTTTTTTACGATACACATTAAAATCATTTTGAAAACTATTATTTAATCTCATTGTGATTATTTAGTTTTACTTTTACTCATTTTATTTTGTGTCTTAAAAACACGAACAATCATTAGTTTACCTTAATTACTCGTTAATTACAGACACGATATCATATAAAAACGAAAGAAAAAGAAAGAAAAATAAATAAATAAAATAAAGAAACCAGAAAGAAATGGAAAACAATTTTTCCTCTTCTAAATGCATATAATAACGTTCATATATAAACGTTACAACAAGCAGTTAACGTCGTACATAAGCACGAAGATACAAATTTTTCCATTAATGCTTATCTAAGTGAACCACAACCACAACAGAAACAACAACAAGTAACTTTTTTTTAACTATTTTTCGATTTTATTTTCTTGCTTACAGCGTTTAATAAATTTTTTTTAGTATATTTTTAATAGATACAGGCGCATACACATACACACACACACACACACACACACAAATCTACAAATATTCATATGTTTCGTACGTACGGACGTGTATCTATGCATTTAAGCATTTAAGTAAAAAACATATCTCTGCGCCATCAGCCTTTGAGTCTTTCATTATAGTCTTTACAGATCTCGGTTGAGGAGGAGAGTCTTGAAAAGTAAACATTTAATCCAGATTTCTGCTACAATTGTGAGCATAGTTTACCATACAGAAAAGGACGCTCGAGCGTACATACATACGTACGTATGCTATGTAACCATGGACAAACATTATTCATTAGATTTCGGCTTAATTTTCTTTTCTTTTCTTGCTGAGTTTTTTCCTTTTTTATTTTCATTTTAATCTGTTTGCCCGTATACGTAGTATATGCTTGTGTTGACTTAGCGCTGGACAAACCATCAATATATTTATGTTGTATTGTTGCTGCCATTTAACTCTTTTAGCCGACAGTCACACTCAGAGAGAAAGAGAGAGAGCGAGAGAGAATGGCAGAGAGCACGAAGACTAGAGAGAGATTTAGTCAGAGAGTAAACACGTTACATGATCATTGCGTTTATGGTCGCTCGACATGTATAGTTTCTTCAAACACACACTCAACCATAATTGAGTTAGTGCGCTTGTTTACTTTTTTCTTTTTCAGCTAAACATACAAACCTATACAGATTTGCTTCATACATGTTAAAAGACCCTCGAAAAGGAAAGCCATGCTATATACGCTAAAGCGTTTCTACTGCGGCCTGCCTAAGCAACCTACAAAATCTTCTTATGTTTCATAATTGTACGTGCATGCCTATGTGTTCATGTGGTTGGCTAAAATCAAAAAAAAAAAAAACTAAAACCAAAAAAAAAGACAAAAAATACCCAGCAAACGTTAACGTAAATATTACTGTTTGTTGGTTATCGTTGTTGGTATATTTCTTGCTTATGCCCATAAGTTTCTTTACATATCTCCTCTAAAAGCCTTATAAACGCACTTGTACCATCTATCGGATTTGTGTGCATGTGTATGCTGCATGTGTACGGATCGTACTAATGAAGCCGACAAGCTGACCATCGTCATCATCATCCATCCATCCATCCACTAATGTTGATCATTATTTATTTAAGTCTACTGCTTACTTACAAATTTTTTTTTTTTTTCGCTTTTACGTTTACCTACCTTATTAGTTTTTTGTTGTCGATTGTGACGTTTTTTTTTCATATTTTTTTTTGCTTGAAAAGTGCCGATTCTACAGTTTTGACTAATGAACACACATTCAGACACTGACTTCATGATTATCATCGTTATTATTGTTATCATCATCATCACCATCATCATCATTGTTATTATTATTATTATTTTATTATTATTACGCCATGAATGTGATTTTTTCGTTGGCTTACTTGGGAACCCTTCGCTATATCTTTCGGCATAAAAGTAACAAATAATAAAAAAAAAAAGGAAAACTAATTAACGAATAATTTGTAAACCTATAAAAAAAACTACGATTACGTATACATACATGCACACATTAGTATATACCTTTCACATTGGAAACTGAAGAGAATTTTTCGATTTTTTTTTGCTTCGCGGTTTAGAGGCGTTCAAATCAAACAAAAGACAACAAAAATTGCAAAGGAAGTTCGATAATCATTAGGTGGATTAAATTTTATCGATTCACATTTCTCGCTAATCTATGATTAAAATTTTGTTACTGCATGATATGAACACATCATGTCAGCAAAGTGTTCTTGCCTTCGCTGATCTTGATCAATTTTTATTTTCTTGCTGGACAAAAAAAACATTAGTAAAAGTTTTGAATGTTAAGCCCCTTCAAATAGTTCCCTTTCCACTTAGAAAAAACAATAGAAATAGAGACGGTTTTCCTCTCTGCAGGCGGCCTCAAGCGGACAAATTTGCCCAACTAATTCTAGTCTCCTAGGACTCGGCTTTGCAGAAGTCGCGATGCTAGAGGCTTTTGGTAAGATGATTGCATGAGCCGCCTAGGTTTATGGAGCAAGCTTTACTAAATATAAACTTGACCAAAGTACGTTTAGGAGAAATTTCTACCCATCACATATCGAGTTTCCGAGTGATAATACAAAGACATTTCTGCCATTCAGTGTTGTGACAGCTTCCCGAAGAAATTTTACTTAACGATAGTACGGTTAGAGCAGATCCTTGCTCTTCAGATATTGGAATTAGAAGAGTGTTAGCGCTAGCGACAACATGGTTGTGGAGAGACTGCTAGCGTCGAGAGTAACAATAAAGCCGTGAACGAAGTTCATCAATAATCCCGCAAATCCCAACTAAAGTTCAAGTAAATGAGAATATCATCAGCAAACTTCGATGATTGCTCTTTATCGCGTACACTGTGATGAAACGGACGTAGTCTGTCTGTCGTTCCTGGATGTCCATCTTTTGCTAATTTTCAATTAGGTTAAGAGTTCTCTAACTCACACGCGAATAATTCCTTTATTCCCCTTTATCCCTATTTTTCCAATCACATTCTGGCATTGTGATCGGTCACTAGCCACAAGAGAGTCTTGTCATAGTATTTGCAATCTCGTATTAGATTTCTCATTTCGCATTACTAGTCGAAATGTAGCTCTTTAGGATCAATTTCATTAAAAGTTTGCTAAGCCACTGAAGCCACCAAAAAAAATGCCTTGTGCTCGGTGATTTCTCTGTTAGACTGGTTGCCTGGTTTCTACGCTACTTATTGTATGTGCGATCTTAAGAAAGTTGTTTTTCTAGAACTCTGAAAAGCTTACTATTATAGATTTTATTTCCCGTCCTGATCAATTAAGGGCTTGCGATAAAATTGCATGTTGCTGAGAAACTTCACGCATCTTCAATACATCAAAAACACCTCGAGTAAGCATATTCAACTCAGCTATCAACAAATGCTATTAACAAAAAAATAATAAAATTTATTTAATAAAGCTATGATTAGGCATGATTCTGATCTGATTTCATACTCTTTCCTCTCCCTATATATGCAGAAATTTCAGAATTAATGCTTGATATTGATCACTTACATCAGTTACATTCATTTTCAAATTAGATCAGCGAATAAGCAGATCATTAAAATCAGGCAGACAAATCAAATCAAACTGATTTAGTGTTTGGCCCTAATCAGGATACAACTTGCATTCTTTACAAGACCCCTCAATATTTTCCCAATTTTTATTGCAAATCGAGTGATATCATAAGCGGTCCCTCAGGTTTTGAGAATGGATAGAAAGACATCGTAAACCAAATATTTGCAACGATGTAGTAGCAAAGCGAGTGGACTTCGGATTTTTGAAGAACTAACGCATTACAATAAAAGACTCCAACTGGTGAAAAGTGTAGACTTCAACCGGTTACTTGTTTTACTGGTAATGCAATGATTTCTAGCTTTGGCCTAGGATTTCTCTTCAGACACAGTCGTTTCCTCTTTTTGCGCAGCTGTCTTTTAAATTCGCGTCAATAGGTGGTCCTTGATAGAGACCTTTAGCTTTGATGTTTGCGGCTGCTTCTACTAACTTTTCTATGAGATTTTGCCTACAATAGCAGTTCTGGGGATAAGCGCTCCCGTTCGCTTATTGAGTTCATATAGCAAAGTGGTGAGAAATGCGAATCACTTTTATGGTGATGAACTATTTTTATACCCTACGTCACTTGTGATGCAAGGGTACGTTAATGCATCACCTAGAGCAAAACGAAATATACGAATATTTTATTACCGAATGATCCAAATTCATTTTCTAAATCGATCTAAGCTTGTTTGTCTGTCTGTGTGTCCGTATGTCCATCTTGGTTTCTTCTGTCAATCTACAGGTCGTAATTTTTGAGCTATATTAATGAAGTTTGATACATCGACCTGTCCTGATTCAGGAAGGAACGCTGTCCTCATGCAAAGCTTTATTTTGAGAAAGAGTTTAATTTTCAAATATTTCTTCATAAAATCTTTTTAAAATGTAATTAAAAAGATTAAAAAAAAAAAACTTTCCTTTCTTTAGTTGCTACTTAAGCTTCCAGAATGTAAACATCTTTTCTTAAATACTCAATACTTGAATCTTAACTGCTTTCACGATATCTGATTACCTAAGCATATGACATACTACCTCAACTGATTTCGTTTACTGTTAGTTGTTTAACAAATTACTGTTCACCAAATGGACTTTTCTTTACGTTGTCTTTACAGTACTTTCAACCTAATCGAAAACCACTTTTTCTCACTTTTCTACGTACAGGAACGTAAACGATAAGTCTCGATAACGTCCTATTTCCATTCGCTTTTAATAATTAATTTCTCAGATATATGTGGAAAAAAAAAGAAAATAAACTACGGACTTAATAGTGTATCGAAATGTGGACAAATTTACATAAAATAAAATGTGAAAAGATTTATAAATGAACGAATGCATAGATGTGCAAGTCTTAAAGTATTTGACGATTATAGATTTCAGATTATTTAAGAATAAAACAGATTGTCGGCGAGTGCCGGAAAACAATTTTTTTTTCTCCTTGATCTCGATGAGGTAAAATCTGTCAAAAAGTATAATTCAGATTCTAGTAAAGAACTGGCCGTCCCTTTGAAAAAGTATTTTTAAGAAAATTATTTTTTTAAAAAGCGCATTTTGCACTGAATGTGATACGAATCTAGGACTCGGTTCGAAAAGTCGCTGTTTTGGAGCATTTAAATTTTGTCTTTAATAAAGCAAGCTTTCTTTGGGTATTTCAAAGGGGCGGAGGACGGGTAATACAATCATTAGAAGCTGAGATGACCACGTTAGAATACGTTTCTTTTTATATCCACCACTGTAAGGTGAGGATATACTATAATGTATGTAACAGCCAACGGGAAGCTTCAGAGACCGTATAAAGTACAGCGTGGTATTCTGAGTTGATTTAGCGATGTTTGTCCGTCCGTGTCGCTTGTGTTGTTGGCACCCTACTGGTCGCAAAAATGAACATATGGACTCCAAATTTAATGAAAACATCGGAAGCTGCTGCACGTAGGTTGATTGGTATTGGAAATGGGCCAAATCGGTTGGAGCGGAAGCGCACACAGAAGCGTAAACTAAACGCAACTCCGTCTTTTTTAACAAAAATTTTTGAATTTTTGCTCACTACTTGGAAATTATAAAAGCTAGAAGGCAGAAACTTTCCACATTTACTTTACGAAGCACTCTACTCCTTACAGGCAAAAAAATGGATACCATCCGCCGTGCCCACACAAAGTTACAAGTAATTAAATTCTGTTTTTTTCACTTTTTGAGGTTTTATGCTTAGTTAGCATAAAGTAAACAAGATCGAATGTTTAAAACTATTTTGTACACTCCTTAAATGAAGATATATTAACTGCTTAAAAGTGGGTTAAGTTTAATATGAAGCTGGTAGAGACCGCAATTACTTACTTGTTAATAATACCGGCGATATGCGTATCAAATAAACGAACTTGGAGAGTGAAATGCGAAAAACATAGCGGTGCGTATGCGAGATTCGGCCGCTGCCGAATATAACTTTCTTATTTGTTTTGATTTTATTCATTTTTTCAACTTTATTTATATACACTTTTCTTTTTACTTTGTGCTTTTCAATTCATCTCATATGTAGACATCTAGGCAACATTAATATTCTATAGTAATTATAGCAATATTGCAACTTTTTCATTTTTTTGTTTTTTTTATTTTTGATATTTTATGATTATTTAGGATTTAAAGCAATTAAGCAAAAACTACTGTAAATAGATAAGTATACGTTGTACGCCGTGACTTTGTTATCAGACACTGTGCCTCACTTCATAAAATCTTATCAAATACAACGAATTTTTTTTGTTATTTCTATTAAAGCAGACAACAACAGCCAGAAAATCAGCGGAATTCCTACAAAGTACAAAATACTTATACAAAAGTTTTATGCCCTAAAAAATAAAAAAAAAAGAGTTAAAAGAAATTAAGATAAAAATGTTATATTCATAAAATACCACAAGGTTTCCTAAAACAACAAGTATCTATTTAACGATCCATTCACGTATTCTTGGAACGCATTCAAGAAACTAAAAAAAAACTTGTAGTCGTTATTTTAATTAAATTTATTTTATTTTTTTTTTCTTCAACTTGTTTTGAATTTGGTTAGATTATCTGCAGTATGTGATACGTAACAGACAAGATGCCAACGGAGTCGAATTTATTAAGAGAACATAACGCATGTGTGGCCCATGAACCACGTTTGGAACATTTCAAACAAACGGCCACGGGAGTGACAGGTGTCAATGTTAATAATTCGGAGCGCAATTCCTCAACAGGACGTAGTACAAATTTTGAAACAGCTGCTATAAATTATCAACATCATTTGGCGAGTTCCTCTGCATTAATGAACAACAGCAATCCCCAAGGTCCTCAGCATCAACGAGAAGTTTCGGCCTTTGTTCCCGTTTTGCCTTCCCATCGTAATCCGTTAAGAGCTCCAGGCTCGCTTTACGGTAATATGTTAGAACCAGGTGGAGTGGAGAGCGGTAAAGATCCTAATAAAAGGGGCTCTAATTTTGAAATAATGGCTATGATGGCCGATAAACGCAAAGAGTTAGCTTTAAGAGAAGCTGCTGTAGCAGCAGCTATGCTTATGCCTCGTCCGGGTCAAGTGCCGCCACCAGGAGTGCCAGCTTCTGTGATGTATCCACCACCGTATTTAACGGGTCCTGGTCCATCGCCTACTGCAGCTGGAAGCTTTACTTTTCCTTCCGCAGCTACTGCCGCTGCCCTCTTTCCCCCTGGCATACCACCCACAATGCATGCTGGGTTAGATCGCCGTTTGCTAAGAGCTCCAGGTAGAGCTTCTAGGCCCAAAAAACAATTCATTTGTAAATTCTGCAATCGCCAATTTACAAAATCTTATAATTTGCTTATACACGAACGAACTCACACAGACGAGCGGCCGTATTCGTGCGATATATGTGGGAAGGCATTTCGCCGACAGGATCATTTAAGAGATCATAGGTAAATTAAGCATAAATTAGAAAAACGTTAAGTAGTAGATGATGATATCATGACTATTTTTCAGGTATATACACTCCAAGGAGAAGCCATTCAAATGTACCGAATGTGGGAAAGGTTTCTGTCAATCGCGTACATTGGCTGTTCATAAAATATTGCATATGGAGGAGTCGCCCCATAAATGTCCGGTGTGTAGTCGCAGCTTTAATCAGCGTTCTAATCTGAAAACTCATTTGCTTACCCATACCGATCATAAGCCTTATGAATGCAATTCCTGTGGCAAAGTATTTCGACGTAATTGTGATTTACGGCGCCACACTTTAACGCACGCTGTTGGCGATGGACCCAATGAATATGTTGACGTCGTAGAAGAAGAAGACGAGGCTCGTAATTTAAGCGGCGATGAAGAAGATTCTCTATTAGAAGTAGATTCGCCACCCCATTCTCCGACGCAAGACGATGAGCGTGACGCAGCTGAGGAAGAGTTGATAGATAGTGAACACCGTATAACGATGTCAGAACGTCTAAGTTTGAAACGTAAAGCGCAATTCGATCAAGAATTATTGGAGGAGGACGATGATACCGATGACGAATTAGCCGATGATATTGAAAATGAAAACGATGAAGATATATCTGAAGAAGTGAGTCTTCCGCTAAGAGAAGTGAGCGATGAACGTAAGGAAGGAGAGATTTCAGAAGGCAAAGTACAAGATCAAGGTGTAACCCATTGCCATCACGAAGGTGGGCATCAGTATACAATGAGACCGTCTCAAGAACAGCAACGCAACGGAAGTAGTGAAGATTTAGGTCCGGTTTTAAATGCGACTCCAGCGAATAATCCATCCACGCCTGCTCATTCATTACCACCACCGCCACCTCCTCCTCCGACTTACGTTATGGCCACTAATTCCGGACCAAGTATAACGCCTTATATGTCTGCACATCCACCGTCATCTGAACCCAGCGAACCTTACATACCGTTATTGCATGTTCGTCGCGATCTCCACTCAACCAAGACTCTTGCACCAAGTTCTTCTAATATAAAATCAATGCCACCAACACAGCTACCCCCGCCGCCACCCCCAACTGTGCCAGTCATGGTGGACACAATAAAAAGTCAGCAAACTCAACAAATGCTTTCACCTCATGAACCTGTTCCTAGCTTCCTAGGTTCAATACCTATACGTAAACGCTCTTTAGGCTTGGAATTTGAGCATTCTCATGCTTTAAATCAAAGACCTCATGCATACGGTGGCGCAACGAATCCTAATATGTATGCGATAAATATGTCGAGACCTCATCTACACGCTTTACAAACCGCCACCGCTGCCAGCATGAAATTAGGTCCTCCAACCGGCCATCCGCAACCATCATCGCCACCTTCACATTTAGGACCTCCACCTCCCGGAATTATTACCAAGCCTGGACCTTATTTGCCAACAGCTTACCATTTAAATCAATCATCAACTATGGATAAGACTATGTTAACGAGCAATACTTCGGTTGCCGGCTTAGGGGGCGAGCCGTATTTGCATCATCATATTTCCCGAAATTCCCTTTTAACAATTCACCAAAACTCTACTCCGCCAACGCCACCACTACCATCAGCTACGTCGACGGTGACTACGTCAAACCATGCGCCGCTACAGCAAAATCCACCCATAAAACGAACTGGTTTTAGCATTGAAGATATCATGAGGCGCTAATCTATTACTTTACAAATTAGCTATATACGAGGAGGGATTTGTACATTCTTTTCTTCTTCTTTTAAGTCATTTCCATTTGGCGAGATCTCATTTTCTGATTAACATTTTTAAATTGATCCTTTATTAAAAAGAAAATATCCTTTTCGTAGTAATTTTTTTTTTGCAGTAAAGGGTGACGGAAGGTATTTTATTATTATTATACACTTTGCGGAGTAGGGCGAAGTGCCTTCCAATAGGATGAACCGCTGTTTGAGACCCATTATTATTAAACTATATAGTTTATTTGAGCGATATATATTGAGATGGCAGCGATAATATTAATAATATGTATACAAGACATTATCCACATTCTTGTTTGCCAGTACGATCGCCAAATCACGGATCGAAAGCGTTAAACGTTTTAATTATTTTCTTTCGCTAATACGTGCCCCATTCGGCCAAGGCCAAAATGAAGAAATTGAATGCTTATGGAGTGTCAATGAATGATTTAAAAAGTAAAAGATTTTAAAAGAATTATGCGGTGATAAACTGCGATCACCGCACGCGCGATTGTTTTAATAGCGACGGGGTTCCTAAAAGCAATGAAAATTATCAAAACAAGTATTCTCCATTATCCAAATATATTTAATCGTAGATTAACTACCATTCCATTTAGAATTTTAAACAAAAAGAAAAAAGAAATACAAGAAGAACTCCTCATGTGCAAGCACTCGCTGTTTGTCGTCTAGAAGGTAGAAACTGATAAAAGTTAATAATGATAAGCCCAAGCTTAGCAAGTAATACAATAAAATTCTAGACTTTATTCAGATAATTAGAAAGAAAACTTTCTTATGATTATAACATTTTAGGTTATGTTTATTAGGTTATGTTTATTACCTTTTGCGCTTATGCCTAAGTTGTAACTTAATGTTCTTAGTTGTAAGCACTTGTTGTACATTTATATTAATTAGTTAATTTAAAAGCAAAAAAAAGGAAAACAAATTGAAAAATATTTATAAATTTCCTAAAAATTCATTTAAAAGAGTGTACTTGCCCCCTCCCAAACACTTAGTGTTCAATTGAGGTTTGCAATTATTGTTTTTACATAAGTTTCGTTCTTAAGTCACAGCAATGGACAGAGCCTATCTATTTCTAGCACTTAGTAATAATAATAATAATAATAATAATGAAGTGGTTCCGTAAACTCATCATTGTGGTGATTAAGTTAGTTCTGCAAATAGTTTTATTAATTTAAGTTAAATATTTTCCCCCGCAAATTTCTTTAAACATTAAAATGAAGAAAAAACGAAATGAAACAAAAGAAAGAATCAAAAAAAAAAAAAAAAAAAACAATCTCTAAAAATATCTCCTACTCTCTCTACATGTCTTCCTGTATGTTCATAAGTATACTCTCTATATATATTATATTATTTTACATTACATACAATTTACATCATTATTGTATTACAAGATAAATCAATTAGAAATATATTTCCTTAAAACAGTTGGGTTGCGTTGTGTTGACTTTTCATCAAGCCATGATATGTTAAGCCAAGATAAATATGAGTACAGTAGCTCCTTAGGTTTCATCGAAGTCAATAAAATTCTCTGTAAGTAGGTAAGCACGTTTGTAAGTATTAACGAGAGGTACTTAATACTTCTTACTGTATGGCACGTAAAATTCAATCATCATTTTCATGGAATCTTGGAATGTGCTGGCTAAAAGTTGCCATGTATACATGTATACATATAAATATATATATATATATATATACACACTATAGAAATAACAGCAATAGTAAAAGTAATAAAAGTTTCAAAAAAATGTAACCTTAGAGCGTTAACCACAAGGTGGCTATCAAAAAATGTTCAGAGTATAAAACGTGATATGAATACGAATTTTATTTATATTTTATTACATACGCGCACAGCATGCACGCATAAGAAAATGTGTACCTTTCAGGGAGTGTGCACAATAACGTGCCTTCTGCCTACGGCAAACCGTTGAATAACTAAATAATAGTTGGTAAAAGTATAGGAACTACATGAAAGGCGATATTTATGAATATGGGCGATTGAATTCGCGAAATATTTATAAAACATAGAAAACGATAACGAAAATCGTGTACGTTCTCTATGAGCTTATAATGAATGCTAAGTGTAAAAGAGCGATAAAGCACTTACATGAAGAACTATTTTACCCAAAGTCATACTGTCCCTTACCATGGAAATATTATAGAATATGAGCTTTGTGTCGAAAGGATATCTGCTCTTTTCTCAAGCGGCCAACAAAAGGATCCATTTCGTGGGTTCGACAATTCTAGTGAATGCAGCGCAAGTAGTAATAAATTCTGATTCATCGTTCCTCACATCTTCGGGACGTTTTCCGCGAAACTATGCCTTTTGTCGGCTTACAATACAGAGATTTGTTCCCACTAAGCAGAAAAAGTTTGCTATTTCCCAAAACGATTTGGATTTAGTGCCGGTGTTGATGGCTGGCGTGAGTTAACTCATGATTTTCAGAGCAAATGCGTACTCAACGCCACTGAAAAGTGCACCTTCACATCTTCAAAGAAACATATCACTCCCGACATTTCACTTTTCCATGGGCATCTCATCCAAGCCACACTGTACCGCATTTCCTCTGGCAAGTGGAAGAATTACGTTAAAGTAGGTTATATTGACCTTAGCTATGCAATGCATGTACACATTTAATTAGAATAAAGTAATGGATAATAAAATAAGCAGTGATAATACTGCAGTAACTTTACTACGATAAGCTGACATATTTTAGTATTTAGGCATCACTAGTCCCATTTGTGTATTGTCCTCATCTAGTGCATAGCGAACCTATGAATTTGTTCAGTACTTCTAGACGGTTTATACCTTTCACATCGAAAGTGTTAACATTTAAACCATCGAGATCACTTATCACACGTTTTAATGAACGAACAATGTTCACCGCAAAGTTCCACAAGAACTTTAGCCAGTTGACTATCTGCTGCCTTAAGAAAAGCGACGCATGTGAGTAATGACTGCTATTAAACATGAATTCAATTATTTTTTAACTTTTATTACGATTTTATCGACGATTTAAAGACCTGATAACAACGGGAACTACATACACAGAACAAAATTCTGGACAATAATCTCAGGGCAGTGAAACCATTGCTTAGAAAGCTCGTAGGGAGTTATTTCTACATTCAGTAACCACAACCGGCTATATCTATGGTTGTCCGCTTACTGCATTTAAAACTTCACCTCATTCAAAATCCGCGCGAATTGATCTATTGATCGCCACACAGTTATCGAAAAGTCCATACGTTTTTCTTTTCCTTTAGACTTTCACTTAAAACTCAACAGATTTGGTCTTGATTTAACAATTTTTTCCTTTCTTTTAAAATGTGTTTATTTTCGGTTTTTCACTCGGGAAATTATACGAGTAGTGTCTCATTATGAAATATATTTGAAATACTATGAGACACATGAGTGCTATATTCCCGTTTGTGTTTCTGTCTTTCGAGTAGTTAGCAAATATTCCTGTTAAATATTGAGTCTCGAAGACATTTGTAATTTGATATTCATTTTGTTGTTTTTAAGAAAGTAAATTTGTTCTTCAAAAGAGTCCTGCAGCCATGATAAGCTTTCCGGTTTGACTTAACTTAACTTATGCTCGTCCCGGTAATTTGAGTAAATTTTTAATTTATTTAATTAAAAAAACGCATAAGACTATATTGAATATCAAACAAGTCTCTCTATCGCGTTTATTAAATACAGCCAGGGACAAATAAATAGTCCCAATTTCGTCATTTGAACAACTGCAAGCTTCAAAAAACATATAAAAATACACGAAAGATTTTCTTTCATTTTACAATGCAGTTTAAACTTATTGGGTTGTTCGAAAAGTCATTCCGTTTGTGTGTTTGTGTGTTTCTTTTTTGTGAAGAAGAAGAAGTTGTTATTTGGTGGTTCGGTATACGATACTTGCACAATATTAACTTTAACAGTTCCAAAACGAAATTTTGGAAATTAGTTTTGACAATTTCTGTCAATATATTTTCTTTAAGGATATTCAAAAAATTTTTTTCTTGCCTAAACAACATTTTACCTCTTCAATATTTAGAGACTGAAGTATGTCGAAAATACTGCTCCACTACACTAGGGCACCGAAACAAAACTTGTTGCACAGAATTTGTTGCAAACGGATCTCGCTATATAAGCTGCTGAAATATATAACGCCATTTAAAAAATGTGAAAATATACAATTAAGTATTTATACTGGGGAAAATGTATGTGAGCAATTGAAACAAAAAAAAAATTCATATGACACAGATAATCCCAAAATACATGAAAGTTTTTTTCGCTTATTGATTGCATAGAAATAGAACAAAATTTAATAAGAACTGTGCATATTCCCAAAGAGAACCCTTTTTTCTTAAAGCACTGCCTTAGCTCCTTTCATTCGGTGTTTAGTAACTTATATAGGATTTTATGAAAATATTGATTCCTTACTTGTTTATTTCCAGATGGTAGAGTTACGTTCATTAGGATCCGTTTCTAAAGACTCTTCTTGCCTTCAACTAGTACTTGGTGTTATAAGAATGGACGTTTTAAATAAAACTCTAGACAATCTGAAAAAGATTAGTGTGAAATCACAATAATCCTGCACTATGAGCGAGTGAAGTCAAGGAGTTGCTATAAAAAAAATGGCTCTCGTTACGAAAGCTGCTGCATTATTTTTGAAAAAGATTTATTTTCGCAACAGAAAAGCGATTGAACTTTAAACACCGCCGTTTGCAAATTGCTCCAAATAGCTGCTTGGCTCAGAAAATCCACTTTTTGTAATTGAATAAAAATTCGACCTCAATTGAAATCTTCTTTAATACTTAAGTAATCATCTAAGACAGTAAAAAAAAAAAAGGAATCGTGGAAAAAGCGAAGCTCACAGGATAGCATTAAACCTTCATGCACTCTTAATGCTTTTTCACCTATAATGTGGACACCTAGTCGGACAAAGGATTAAATAGGTTTTGTAAAATTAGTAAAAGCTCATGTCTTTGGAACCGAAGACCCGGCTTTTTGAATCCATAACAAAAAAAGTTAACGAAGTTCACAGACTTTTGCAAGTAAGAAAACTGTAGGTATGTTAGTTGGACGAATAAAATTCTGTAGTAAGCTTTTCTTACATCTTTGAAACTTATGGTAAACAATACTTTAATAATTATAAATATAAATAATAATTTGATATTTTGATAAGGAAATGATTATAAATCGACCATGCTCAAGAGATTGAAGTGCGCATCTTTAGAAAACGCGTTCTATTTCCGTACATCATGGAATATAAGAAAATATAATAGCATAATGGTAAGTGGGGAGCTTTAGTAAGTGGCATTACTTTTCAGACTTGCATTAATTTGCACAGGGCTTGTCTTGGTCATTGGAAGAGCAGGAAGGACATATTTTATTCTTTTGCAGCAAATGTAGGAGCAATTGTAGCAGCAAATATTTTCATCTAAGAAAAATTCGATGCCATAGTCGCGGTTTTATTTTCAATTTCTACCCGGTTTTATTTTCAACTTTCCCTCTGTGCATTCCTTTTTGACACCCACCGTGTTATACTACATTCATGGGGACATACTCTAAGTAACCAGTCATACAAAGAAAAAGAATAAAACTAAGGGTAGGAGAGCCGACGAAAAAATATTTAGGGTCAAATTTCTCGTCGCTAACACACTCGGCGACTCCACTCTTGATAGTCAAAAACTTTGAAAGATTTTATATTACTTTTGTCGTGGCTATAATATAGTGAGTGCTCCGTCGGTGAAGCTATGACACGTCCACTACGCAACCGCTACCGCCTATCCTTCCCTTTTCTTGTTTCTGTCTAACCCTTGTTGTGTTATATAAGTAGGGGACATACCCTGAGTAATTGGTCATAAAAAAAACAAGTGAGAAAATTAAATTCGTGGCCAAATCCATTATACCCATCACCGTTTACCACAAAAAAAGACAAAAGAAGTCAAACAACAAGGCGCAGTTGATTTCTTCTACTTTCAAAATAAAAGTTTTTGTCGTAGATTCATGCGGGCGTTGTAGGCGTCTCCTCCGAAAATTTTTGCTCAATTTCAAATTCTGTTGCAAATTTGGAAAAGCAACTGGGCAGACGTACAAATGGACAGACGCACAGACGGACTTGTTTTGGTGCATTCCTAATTGGATCTGGTCAAGACTTCGTAAAATTTATGGGGCTTTCGAAGTTTCCTTCTACGCGTTATAAAGTTATTAAGAAAATTAAACTTTGATACACTATAATGGTGACTAGGCGCGCCCATCTTTTTACGCAAATGCTAAAGCGTCGCCATAGAATACGCTATAATTTATGAGTGAGCAATCAGCCAAAAAAACAATTTTTCGTTCCCTTTGAAAAACATTCAGAGGCATTCTCAGTTTACGACATTACAGAGAGACAAACGGACGTACGTCAATCAATTTAGGATTTGATGCTAATTGAGAATATATAAGCTTTGTGAGGTCTCTGATACTTGCTTGTGGGCGTTGCAATATGTTGATAATATGAACACCTCATCCCTTCGTTAATGGGTATAAAAAGGATTTAGTTTTAAAGCGCTTTGCCAAAAATATATTATCAAGTGAATGAAATAAAAGAATAACTATCGAATAATTTGTTTAGCTCGCGTAAATCGTAAAGAAGTAACTGTTAACCATTTAAAGTTAATTAAACGCAGCTTTTCTGATTGTTAGAGCAAAAGTGTAATCATCTGTCATCGAGAAAATACTTGTCAAAAAAGCTACTCATAGCAAAATGTTAAATGAAATATATGAAGAAAAGATAAATAAACAGAAAATCACGTTAAAAAGAATTTCAAAGAAAAGCTAAAAAGCAACTGAAGTTAAATAATGAAAAGCTCTCCAGGTTGCAAACAGATAAGAAGTCAAGAGAGAGATTTTCATTTTAAATAACTGGTTGGTTTGGTAGTTGGTTAGTTAGTTAGTGTGTGAATAGTTAGTTATATATTGGTTGGTGGCGGACGGTCTCTTCGCAACCAACGTGTATAGCTTTACTCAGAAATTTAACGACTTTAAGCTCGTGCGGTTGGTCTCACTAACGGAACGGTAACCTGTTGATTTATACATTATTTGGTGCTACGGTTAAACGATCAGTTTTAATGCCTTTGTATGCCCGCATGTGCATGTGTATTTGTGTATCTGTGTTAATTTATAAATGGTGACAAGTAAACTAACGTTGACCGCGCCTAAATTTCATAAAGCGTAGAATGAAAAAACCGAAATCTACGATTTTCATATAAAATTCTTGCAAATTATTAACAAAAATATAAAAAATATTGAAGAAAATTTCCTTAAAATTGATAGAAAACGAAAAAGTAAGAAACGATTCCTCTCTAAAGCAAAGGAATAAACGCAATAAATATTGAAATATGTAAGCTTAACAAAGTGAATGTGCCTGAGTAGTATGAGTAGGTGAGAATAAAGGCATGCATTAGTGTTAGTGGTAAATGCCAAGTTATAACTTTAATGCAATTGAGTCTAGTCAGGCTGTATGGCTGTTTGACGACGATGGTGACTGAAAGAGCCATAGTTCGAGAGGAGACTACACCAACAACACCAGCCAACCACATACAATAAAAAAATAAAAAAAGAAAAAAAAAATACTTAAGTATAATGCTATGCTAGTAGTATGGCTCCGTGAATACAGAGCAATGGCAAAAGAGTTATCTAAAAACATAAGAGAACCATACAAAAATAATATTCTAAAGAACGATAATAATAATAAAATAAGATAATAATTATAAAAATAATTTGTGAATAATAAAAAAAAAAAAAATAAATAAATAAATTTTGTAATAAAAACTTGATTTATTTATTTAGTTTTTTGTTATTTTATTTTAAATATAACGCTTTGTTGCACAAACAGAACAATTTGCGCTCATTTTATTGTTGTTTTTGCTGTTGTTTCATTTTTAAATTGATTTCGGTGTTATTCTCTCAACCGTGAGATGTTGTATTTTTTCAATGATTAGCTTAATGTTATCTTACCGTGAGCATGTGCGTGTTTGCCTGTGTGTGTGTGTGTGTGTGCGTGTTTATGCGTATGAGTTAAGCTTAATTTTGTGGCCAATAACCCAAGCGAGTATATGCTCTAGAGTAAGAGAATTTAAATGCTTGCCTGCACATAATAATAAACGTTAAACAACAGCCGCTTTGTTTCGATTGTTTTTATTTTTTGCGGCCGCCTTATGATGCTGTCACGCTGTTGCAATTTCATATATATATCTATACATATATATATATATATATGTATATGTGAATGTATATGGCTGATTATGTACCTGCCTGTAGTAACAACAATAACATGTTGCACTATATGTCGTCGGCGTAATAAATTGATCTTGATCTTATGATTATCTGCTTGTACGCTCCAAATAAGTAATGACAGTGTATTTATAATTACGTGGCGAAGTAAAGCATGCATTTTCAATTGCTCAAGCTAATGCCGAACGTTCTTAAGTTGAAATGTGTGTTTAAATTGATACCGCCTCAAAGATGATGGGTGACTCATGGGTGTTCCGTTGTTTTCTCGTTAAATGTCAGTGTGATTAGTGATTTCATTAAAAAGTTAACCTTGATTGAGAATCATTTAAAACGAATTTATAGCGAATAAATGAAAACTTTTTTTTTTTGTTTAAAACGATAATAGCCTTGATTTCTAATGCTCATCTTAATTTAGTGCAAGCATTTATTCTCTATGCGTTAAATAATAGTAACAATTGTACGACTTTGCGAAAACCTCAGGCATCCTGTTTAAAAATTGAAGCATCTTTATTGATAATCATCTTTAAAAATCAAAAAAAAAAAAAAAAAAAAGAAAAGAACTCAGCGCTTGTCTTCGATTAAAAAAGGTCCCGCCTTGCTCATTCAACGCTTATTTCACGATCAATGATCTTCACGATTTCGATTAGGATACCAAGATTACTTAACATTACAACGTTTAGAGTAAATAATATACAGAACATTAAAAGAATGTATGTATGTGTTTCCCTCCCTTCCTGATTTCTTGTTTTCAACGTACAGGGCGCAATTTTTGAGATAGTTTGATCAAATTTGGTACAAAGGCATGTCTTAGCCCAAGGAAGAACGCTATCGGGAGCGGTCCGCTTTCTCGATCACTTCCCATATAACGCCTTATTTTGAAAAGTTCTATGAATAATTGCATTAAACGGAGTGGTGCAGGGTATTTAATAGTAGAACATGATCCACTACAATGCTTTCATTTATTTTTGCTTAGTTTACAAAATTTAAAATTCATAAACTTTAGAAAAACAATGGTGTGTTTTAGCAGCTATTCATCGCTTTCTTTCAATTGTAAAAAAAGAGTAAAAAAGCTTCGAAAATGAAACGAGATTGTGCAAAGCTCGGAACGAAGAACTGAAATATTACGCTTGATCCCAGTATCAACTGCCAAAATTAGGGATTAGTGGTTGTTTTTTTTTCAGATATGCACCTTCCTCTCTTGCTCTCTCTCTCTCTCACTCTCTCTAGACCTTTTATTGAGGCATCTCCTGCAATTCTTTCCCTTTCGGATATTGGCCATTTGCTTCAGATCTAATTCTGAAGTGAAAACACTTTGGCCTTTAACGGCATTGCATTGTCTTCGTTGAAAATTCTGTAGGACACATAACCCTAACGCAATAACAAACTATCGAAAGCAATGAACAAGCTCAGCGTTACACTTAAATCAAATTTACAGGTATTCAGAAAAATAGGTCAAACTCAGAGCCATTACCATAATCTCTTTTCTTCTCTCAAAGTGTTAGTGAATTTTTAAAAATCGCTCTCCTTCAGCTCATTAATATTCCGAAAACATTTTTACCATTGCAGCAAACATACAAAATATCTAAACTCATCTAATACATACGAGTTAACTGTTAACACAACACAACAACGAATTTTAAACCCTTTTAGGGCCCATAGAGTAAAAGCGACAACGGAAATATTCTTTTCTTGCTTTAAATAAGAAGCGAAACTTTCTGAAGTTCATTCATGTTAGTTAGTTAATATTGATTGCCCTTATTGTTGTTGTCGTATTGCTAAACAAACGTCGTCGTGCGTGGTTTTTTGTACTTCTCTACATATTATCGCTTTTATGTCTTGTTATCGTCATAACAGTATACAACTACAAACACACGTCTTGACGAAGCCAAGGAAATAATGCAACCATAAAGTTCTCTAGCGAGTGTTAGTCTCAGTTGTATCTAACGGTTGTTTGCGTACAGGCGACGAGTTTCTAGTCTTATAAAAGGTACAAAGTGTGCTTTATAAGAAAAAAAAAAAAAAGGAAAAAGCATTTTTCACTTTTTTTAAGTGATATAAAAAAAAACAAGTTTCCATTGTTAAATGGATGTGCGCGTGTGTGTGTGTGTGTGTGTGTGTGTGTGTGTGTAAGACTTTCCACTACCGTGTTTATTTGTTAATTTTTGTTGATAACTTTATCCAGCTGATAAGTGACGACATACAACTGAAAAAAGAAACCAAAAATAAAAAAATTTATGTATAAAAATGAATTTAAAAATTATTACAACACCGATGCCTTCAATAAGTGCTTTACTTTTACAACTATGTTTAATTGAGTAGAAATTTAAGAAAAATTTTAGAAAATAAAGAAATATTTTCACGTGCAAAAATAACCAAAAGTGTTCTTCTATAACGACATGACGCCTAAATGTCTACTTAAGCAACGATTCCTTATCCTTATATTCGCCTTAAGATGCATTTACGGAAATGCGAAATCTTATAACAACAACAAATTATATGAATCCGTTGACTACTCTGACAGTTTAAATAATATCGACCCAGATTTTCATGCCAATATGCTGGCGGCAGCAACGACGACAGCAACGATTTCAACTCATAACGATCCACACCGCCCACTACTGCCACAAACAACGCCATTATCATCATCATCAACGTCATCATCACCATCAACATCGTTATTGTCGTCGCATTCGGGCACCCTGTTGGAAGGTGGAAGTATAACCAGCGACCGTATATTACGTTACAGTGAAAGTCCTTATCGGGTTAATGAACACATAATTATACAAAAGGGTGCCAAACTGACAATAGAACCGGGTGTAACAATTGAATTCGCTCCAAATGTTGGCATAACGGTACGCGGTGTACTTCAGGCGGTGGTAAGCATTATTTTTAGTATTTTTGTGAATCTTAACTATGTACATGTATATGTATATGTCCAAGTGTGTGTAGATATGCATTGTGAATGACACAATTTTTCGTACCCAGATATCACTTTACAAGCAATGATTCATTGTTTCTTTCATCTAGTAATGTGTGTAATATATGTGAAGGCATAAACATATTTACATGAACACAGGTTAAAGAAACTCAGCTCACCTGCTATTCAACTTTATTTATCTGTCAAGTAATACCACTTAACGCAATCGAAAACTGAGAGACAATTAGAAAAAAAATCGAAAAGGTAATAAAACTACAATGGTTTTGCTTAATAAAGCTATTGGCATCAAATCATTTATGAGAGACTGCGTACCCTACATTAAATTTAAGATCATCTGTTTTTCTTATATTTTGTATACGCATCGCTCACAAGGGATGTCACCTATATCTGCAACAGGGTGATTGTCAGAAAGAATTGGGGGCAGAGAGATAGGAAATGTTTGCAGCGTGGGAGGAGTACCTCCTATAACTATGACAATACACTAAGCCTTATTAAGGTACGGTCTATCGTACTGGAAATTGAATCCATGTATGCCGACTTCATATTCGTGCTTGTTAACTGCTTGACAGTTATTTGATATCACAATATTGTTAAACAAAGCAGAATAATCTTTAAAGGCTAAGAAAGAAAAATGTCCGCCTTGAGAGGACTTTGCCATTCATTAAATGCAATAACGTTATATATATTCGGCAAGAAATTTATATTCGCCTTAAGGCGTTTGTGTTTATTTGTCGCCAACCACATTAACTACTAGAACTAGCAATATTTTATCAAAACTGCGTAACAGCTTATTAACTTTGGACCTGTTAGCCGGTCACTCAAGCACTTACCGTCTGAAACTAGATGCGAAATATTTAATTATATGTAGGCGAGCTTTTGTAGTGACCTCGATAAGGTACTTCTAGGTATCGTTGGCAGCAAGTTTCAGATCAAAATCTTTTTTAGGTTGTCAAGGCCTCGCCTTGAGGTGACATAACATCATGACCCGTGTCACCGGGCTGATGCTACAGCATAATACCCATTTAAAATTGGAGAAGTGATAGCGCTTAAGGCGCGCAATATTACGCATTAATATTCACCTCATATGCTATCGAGCAAAGGCAAAAAACTTTTCGTATAATCTTAATAATAAAAACAGCTCGTCAATGATCGTTATGAAACTTGATTGAAAATTCTAAGAATGAAATATAATAACTTCGCAGGCATCTATTAACCTGGGACCTTAATATAAACTGAGATTAAAAATGCACAGGTGAAGCTATTATTTTCTTTAAATGATCTCTCACTTGGAAAATATCCGCTACATGTGTCCGGAAGAGAATACCGGTTGTGAAGTGGAAGTCATAGGGAAATGAACATTTGACTTGAACGTAATAAAAGGTAGGTAAAGTTAATACGCTGTTAATATCACATATAAAAGGTCTTTTAACTTCTACGCACTATCTTCCCATATATGAATACAAATTTTCCATTTAAACATGCGGACATACATTAATCGCTTATATGTATTCTATTAATATAAAAGAAACAATTCCATAATTATTTGCTACCGTGAGAGTTGATCGAACAAGAAAGCTAACAAGCCATCCCTTTCTCGGTTATGTATGCGAATAAAATAAGAATTTTGCTGTAATCGTATATGCTAATGGTAGTCTTATGTTTCGAATCTTGTTTTCCTGTAAACAAATGCTTGCAACGACCACAAATGAATACACATAATGACTAACATCGACTGGCCTCTGAAGTGAAACGCAACAATTCTGCGGAAGCAGCCGGTCATTGCTTGTCGATGTGCATGTAATTGTTCAGTTACAATGCATAACTTTATGGTCTGGACATTGTACAGTAATAAGCAAGCACGCTAAACGATAAAGAAAAAAAAGCGACATAAACTTGCATGATTATCGTTAATTATAGCACCAAAGTAAAGATCAAAAGATCTTTTAAGAAATCTCATCAAATATGTCTCGTTTCAAACGAACTTCCATATAGTACGAGAGAGAAAGCATTCTCTATGAAGATGACTAATAAGCGAACCCCTCATTCATTGAAGACGTACAAGTTTACATAATTTGAGACATTTTGAGGGCATTAGGTTAAAATAGGTTAATTGATGAGTTTGAGTCGTAAGCAAATTCAATTCATTAACGCTTCTGCAGCAATTTACTCAAATTAAATAATCAATTCGTTTCATTGAACACAGGGCTTACCAACGCAACGCATTACTTTAACTGCTCAAGGTCACAACGAGGAATTGCCAGATCAAGAAGAACGCGGCGTGCGTCTGGTGGATGGACCAACTCCCATAAAAGGCAGATTACAAATTTTCCATAAGGGCAACTGGAGGGCGGTTTGCACCAATTCTAGAAAGTAAGGACATGTTTATTCGAAAGTGTGTTAATTAATTAACTCATAACTTTTATATTTTTGGTAGTTGGACGGCGGCTGACTATAACGTAGCTTGTCGGCAACTAGGTTTCTTAGGCGGCCGTTTCTGGAATTGGGTAGAGAGATCTGCTGGCCACGAAGCGCGTTTGCTCTATGAACATCCGAACTGTGAAGGTTCTGAAAAATCCCTTTTGAACTGTCAGTGGTCTACACGTCAACTAGGATCTGGAGTTTGTGATTATCATAGAGATATTGGCATACAATGTTTAGCTGTGCACGCTGCACCATTGTTACATTGGCGTGGTTTGTATTTTGAAAATTCACCGACAATCCATTCACTGGCAAAGGATAATATTTTGTACTTGACTAAATCGAAATCTACACTCAAATACGTGGATATAATACGAGCCGGCAATGGTGAAAATCAAGCCATTCAAGCGGCTTTAGAAACCATTGGCATACCCCCGATTACCCATCATGTGCAGATTAGCCATTCAGCTTATACCGGCTTTAATGTCACTAAGCCCTTTAGTGGATTTTTATTGCAAAATGTGACGGTGCGGAAGAGCAATGGCATCGGAGTATTTGTCAATTCGAGTCAGGGTTATGTTAAGCTCAGCGGCTGCAATATCATTGACAACGCCGGAGATGGTATTAAATATGTGACCCACGATTTAAGGGCGGAGGAACGGACCGATCGTTCATCAATTTACGAGTTTTGTACTCTACCCACTACGTCGGGTCAAACGTATCCGATTTCTATGTCTTTTACACAAAAATATTATGCGGGATCCGCTAAAGAATGCGGTAAATATTTTTTCACGAAACCTGGTTATTTGCTCACCGTCCAACTAGAACAATTTGTACTGCAAACAAACGAAACAGCTTTGGTGGAAATTTACGATGGAGCATCGGCAAATGATCATTTATTGTTCACTTGGCTGGCACGGAATTATACCAGGCCTCAAAGCGTAACCAGTACACGGGAAAAACTCTTTATCAGAATCAAGGCTGAAATGCGCGAGGAAATCGTGGGGTTTCTCCGAATCACTTCAGGTGAACACAGCGCTTATGATTTCCTAATCGAGGACTCCACTGTAGAAGACAACGCTGGACGTGGTATAGCTGTAGATAGTTTAAGATCTAGACTGCATGTACATAGCTCTTCAGTTTCGGGTAACCAGCATGTAGCTGGTCTTCATGTCACTAGCGGAGTAGGCGATGTTAATATCACCGAAAGTAATATAAGTTACAATCGTGGATCGGGCATAAATATAACTTATACCGGAGGAAATCGTAACATATCCCGTAGTTTTTTTAACTTCAACAAAGACTACGGTGTAGCTATATGGTTAAATGAAACGAGCGACCCGAATCGTAAAGAATACATTCCATTTAATCAGACCACTGTCGTTGAATACTCTTACCTCAGTTCAAATGTGGAAATAGGAATATTGCACGGTAATTTTTGTGGTCCTATATGGGTTAATATAACGGGTAATTCTTTCAATAACTCGTTTGATAATGATATTCGCATCGAAAGCTGTTGGCGACCGCTCACCGAAATTGTTAGCGAGCCTAACCTTCACTTACAAGTTGGACACAACGTGTTCGAGTATAGTCAGCAAAATTCTATTTACCTGAGTCCTGCTTTAAATCTGCAGGGACGTATTGAATTCAATCATTTTCATTACGGATTTTACGGCTGCATATACATACGTAACGACTTCATTCAGTCAGAGTTCAATTTTATGCCAGTGCGTTTATTGCTACAAAGTAATTATTTTATTAGAAATCGTGGCGTGCACGTGGTGTCACTTGGTCTTTCTCCCTACAGCCGTCGAGACTTACAATCTTTACTGTTCACCCGTAATTTTATTCGGGATAATAAAATTACTGAATTTTTTGGTCCCGTCGTCGAAGGAAGTGAAGGCAATGATGGTGCCGGCCGACTTAATCCTCGTTGTCGGATAGCTGCTGCGGTAGTGGTCTCTTCCAGTAACGTTGATATTTACCGCAATATATTACACAATCTGGATTCGACTTATGAAATCGGTTCCCAATTAAGTGATCAAAGTCAATCAATAAATGCCACCTATAACTGGTTGGGATACACTGACGAAACCAAAATTTATGGTCGTCTGTTTCATCGTAACGATCGTTATAATTTGGCAAAAATCGAATATATTCCTTATCTATTACACAATTCAAATCCGGGTTCTACCACTGTTATATCAATATCCACGTTTGTACCTCGCTTTTACACCGAAGGCTCTGCTTATATAGGTGGTGAAGTAGATGGCCAAGAAATGATTCCCGTTGGAACTTATACAGTAAATAAAGATATTAATATAAGGCCGGGTGGAAAACTGATTTTACAACCAGGCGTAACTTTACAGTTTGAGCCAAGTGTCGGTATGATGGTTGCCGGAAAATTGGAAGCACGTGGCAGACGACCTGATGACATACTCTTGACACTTAAGCGGAAAACGATTATAGCTATGGATGTGGACTCTTCAACAAATCATGAAAATATCGATATCGAGGTGCTCGATATGGAGACTGAATCGGTGTCAGTTGTTGAAAATGGGCCACCTAAAATTCCAGTTAGATTGTTAGGCGGGGCAGGGCCTTATGAAGGTCGTTTGCAATTGTTTTTAAACGGCCGATGGGGCACTGTTTGCGATTACGGTTGGACGGAAGTGAACGCTGCCTTAGTGTGCCATCACTTGGGCTACACTCTTAATCCAAAAGATTGGCGCTTAATGCGCTCTCAAATACCTTCAATGGGCACCACAGAGGATGTAATTGTATCAAACGTTCGTTGCACAGACCACGATCGCGACATAACGAAATGCAAAGCCGAGCATTTACTGAAAGGAGACTTTGAAAATTCATGCACTCACAACAATGATGTGGGTATACGTTGTTACCAAGGCGCTTGGGCTGGAATACGATTTAGCATGTTAGCAGAGCGAGCTGACTTGCAATATGTTACTATAGAGAAAGCGGGATTGTTTGACTATACTACCAACTCTTTTAAGCCAGCCTTGCAGATGGATTTTGCTCGTCATAACTTGGAAAATGTACGCATTGTCGATAATCTGGACGATGGCCTCGGGGCAATATACGCTGACATTTATGGTGGCAAATCGATAAATAACATTAAAAACTCAGAATTTGTAGGCAATCGTGGCAGTGGCATTAGTTTGAAACAATTGGACTTCAAAATTCAAGGCAGCATTATCAAAAACAATGGAGAAAGTGGGATAACTCACGATCCTGTCGTGCCGGCCATTGATCAATGGGAAATGGGTGGTTGGTTTAAAATGGCGGTCGATTTCAATCCATTCGAAAGTAATTATGAACCCTACACGTTGCCACAGGATAGCGGCAATATTCAATTGGGGACGTGGGAAAGTAAATACATTAGAACCGATGCTGTGGTGGGCGAAAATATTAATAGAAAAGTTCACATACGCTGTCCGGCAGGCTATGTGTTGGGCATACAGTTACTGAACCCAATAGCAATTCACTCAAGTGAAAGTTTATTGATTTGGAATTCTCCAGTTGAAAATCAAAGAATGGAAGCGTGGGATGTTAAGAGAGATCTTAATGCTTTTCCTGCGACCAGTAGCAGCTATGGGATTATAATACAATATGAAAGCGGTTCTAATGCCTTGGGAGGTAGTGTACTTATGTTAACTACGGTTACGGCTCCGGTGCAAAATCTGCGCAACAGAGTAATACGTGGTCCCGTTCCTTCTCTGCATATACGCTCGACAAAAATACAGAAAAATCTTAGAGGTATTACTGCTTACTATTACAATCGTTATCGAGGCGATAATGCGGAATATTATCTACGCAAAGCCAATGAATCCATGAAAATTGTAAATAGTGAAATAAGCGGCAATCGCATGGAAGCGATTCTCATTAAGTCCCCCTTTTGGGATGTTACTAGCAGCAACCTATCTGAAATCACTTTACACGTTAACAGTTCCATCATTACTCAAAATGGTTATGGCGTAAGGCACATTTCGAAAGACCTAAGATCATCGAATAATTTGTTTCATTATGTCCTGCAAGATACTACGGTGGAGGATAACCGATATGGCGGCTTCCAGGTAGCCCTTCCTTACGTCTGGCAATACAATGAAAATTTTACCCATAGTATTCATTTCGGGAACAGCACCTGGCAACGTAATCGAGATTTTCAAATCGACGTCAGCGGTCATTACGCTGAATTCAATATAACCGCTAACGACTTTATTAGCAATCAAAGTCCGCGCAGCCTAATATCCGTGAGCGGCATGGAAAAGAGAATTAAATTCAATTATAATCGCTTCGAGCAAAACAATGCGAAATTTCTAATGGAATTTAAAGCGGATAGTCTAAGCGAACGTTTAGGCGAAGTGCAGGCTCTAATAGAATTTAATACTTTGAAAAATAATAATAATTATGATTCGCTTCCCCATATACCGCATTTAATTAGTGCTCGTAAATTAGCTGCCCCAAATCGATCACCAACGGCTGTGATTCGAATCGATGGCATACAAAATGTTAAACTTTATCGTAACTTGATTAGTCAAAATTTGTTCAAATACAATCTGGTGGCAGGTCTAAAGTCTGCAAATTTGAATAATTTCTGTTATGCTACGGAAAACTGGTGGGGAACAACGGATGCGCAGCAGATCGAATCGAAGATATTTGATTTTGACAATTGGAATGATCATGCGGACGTTGTGTATCAGCCTTTTCTCATAGAAGAGAGTTTTGATGCTAGTATTTCTTTGTTAAGCGAAAACACACAACCTATGGATATAAGATCCTGGAGGGGAGGACGGGTCTTTAAAGATTTAGTTTTAAGAAAACGGCCTAAGCCTTATATCATAGAAAACGATATAACGGTTATGCCCGAGGCCACTTTGACCATACAACATGGCGTGCAAATGGAGTTTAAAGCAAGCATAGGATTGCTTGTTTTAGGCACACTGAATGCGATTGGTTATCGGGAATCTCCGATTATCATGAGAGCACACAAAAATGCTACTCATGAGCAATATTCCGTTATCAATAAACGTTCGATACAAAATTTCAGTGATATTCAAACTTATGATTTCATACGCTTATGTACGAGTAGTCAAAATTGCAGTTCTATCGTGAATCCGTTGCATGAAGTTAATCAAGGCTTTTTAGAATATTTTAATCACACTACTCTACAATGGATTCCCATCTGCGATAATCGTTTCACTGAACGTAATGCGCAAGTAGTTTGCCGTGAACTAGGTTATGATCCTCTAAATGTTTATTACGCCCATGATCGCCGTGTAGAATTTCATACAAATTCTTTGTCTCGAATATGGACTTGGGTACAACCGTTGGAGTGTAGAGGCGACGAGACCCGCTTATCGGAATGTGAAGAACGTCTAAATGGTCAAGTGTACGGTCATCGCCATGAATGTTCTTGGGATGACATGTTTGTATTTGTCAGTTGTTCTGGTACACCCGAAGATGAAGTCTATTGGGGAGGCGTGCGATTTGCCAATTCCGAATTTGAAGCCAATCAATACGAGCACCGTTATCATGATATCCACACTCACGGGGTACAAAAGAATAAAGAGAGCCGATTAGAGTTCGTGAAGATCGAAGACGCTGGCATTTTACACAACCAAAAATCGGCCGCCTTACAAGCGATTTACAAGACCCCTTCAATTTTGGCTGCCATTATTACTAACTCAGCGAATCATGGTGTAAATTTCATAGCTCCCAATGGTGTGATTAGCTTGAACTACTTGAATATAACCCGAACTTTAGGCACTGGCATTAGTGTACTCTCTTTAACGGGTGAAGGGCGCGAAAGTGACGAATCTAGTTTCACGCCATTGAAAAATTTAGATATACCCTATCAACTATTCTCTCTGATTGACATCTGCGATCCACAAAAGAATATAATAGTAGAAGAAAGAGTTCTTGTTTACTATAAATATGCAAATAATCCAATAAATTGTGTCAAAGTTTTCACGGCTGCTTTCCGAGCAAAACCAATAGGTTTTCGTTTATTACAATCCAATCTATTCAATCATACCAAATTATATGGACGTATGGACGCTATAAGACTTTACGATGGTGATGTTTATAACGTGTCATCAACTTTCTTGGGACAAATTGAATCGGATACTGCCAACCAGAAGTTATTCTTTAAAACACAAGGGCCATCCTTAAGTGTTCACCTAACTGCCAGTGGCGCTCCTGAATATCATGGGTTTATCGCCGAAGTGGTTACGGTACCAATATCGACAATTGGGCAATGTAAGACGATCTATTTTCCATGCAATGTTAATTAAAAGAAATGAATTTTTACAAATTTTTACTAATTATAGATCGCGACTCTTTGCATAACATTTCCTATACACATATCAGCGGAGCTGTTAAGGGTGCTTTCATGTACGCCTCGGCTGGTGAAGTAACGCCGACTTTGACTTTAACCTCAAATCGCATAGAAGACAATTGCAAGCAATTGTACGGTAATTTCTCCACTTGTAGCTCAGCTTTAAACATCGACGTACAAAACATGCATTCATTTTATTTTATGGTAAATGTTTTCATTTGCTTTAATACCGAAATTTTCACAAACACACGAAATATGAAATCTTTTGCAGAACAATTTGGTAACGAATAACCAAGGCGGTTTAAAATTGCGAGCTGATTCTCGCGGTTCGGCTACCTCGCTGCGGGGCTTCATACACCACAATCTGATTTTCAGAAATCATAATCGTCCTGCTATGTTCCTAGAGGGAAGACAATCTTCTCCTTACCAAGAGGTAGAAATATACCGAAATTACTTTGCCCAAAATGAAGCGGGCTACGAAGACGTTATACGCCTACGACAAGTGGTATCAAATTTTAGCTACAACTATGTCCACAGCAATACGGGAGGCCGTATTATGGAAATTTCCGGATTTGAAAAAGTACGGTTACCTATCTATCAGAGTACGGTACATAATGGATTTTATGGGTGAGAGGTGGTCTCACGTTCAAAATGTCAACTAAAAATAATCTAAAAAACTCATTTCACTCTTCTCTAGTAATGTAGCTACCAGTTGGTTGGGACGCGCTACAATAGTTGCTGGGACCGCAGGACAGCAATATGTGGATAATATCTTTGAAAATCCAGAGAATGATTATGAAATTATCACCGTTAACAGTTCCATGTAAATATTCGTAAATAAATTAAAGTTCACTTCTGTTTCCTTTGCTTTTAACTTTCTTTACCTTTCTTTCCAATAACCAAATCTCTTGCATGCCTTTCCCTACAATATGTAGCTTGAGCTTTGACTATAGAAACAGGTAAACTGTCATATAAATTGATTTCCTTTTAATTAATTCCAATAAAATAATTTTACAGTACCATCGAGTTATGGCGTTCGAGGATAGATGCCCGTCATAATTACTGGAGTTATAATAACAGTATTTCGGTACAGTCGCGCATTAAAGACAAATCAGGTAAGCTATGATTGATGTCAGAAGTTTATAAAACTTACTGTTTTCATTATTTCAGACGATCCTTTATTGCTTGAGGTTCAGGCAGTTCCATTTCAAATGAATAACCAGTCCATATTGGACGGTAAATGCCCGCCAGGTTGGAGTTTAGTACACGACACCTGTTTCATTTATATGGGAGTGCCTATGAATTTCCTCGAAGCTAAAAGCTTTTGCAGATCGGAAAACTCATCTATGCCCTTTATAAGAACCGACAGTTCTACGTTGTGGGCGTATTTACAAACCCAAATGGCTCATATGAGGCAAGAAGAAAATTCCCAAGAAATTAAATTAAAGATTTTATTGTGACATTTATGCGTCCTTAGATATCCGGAAAAAGTTTGGATTCAAGATTTCAATTACATAGATCGGTGTACCAGTTTTGCCTATGCTGAAATATTAGTGGAAAATTGTGACAATGAAATGGGTTTTATATGCGAAATAGATCCCAAAGTAAGACGCTGATTAGCAAATCTTCTTAAATTCGTTGATATCAAAATCGTTTCTCTCAGGTTGTTATTGATCCTTTATCGTGGCGTGCTGATATCTTTGCCGTAAGCATTATATCGGCATTTATTTTGGCTGTCGTCCTCCTAGTATTAGTAGCCGTTTGCTGGTATGCCAAATCAAAGCATCGTCATGTACAACGTTTGCAACGACGCAACAGTATACGACAGAGTCTGCGCAGTTTAAATAGCATTGATGCTCAAGGTTCACTAAGGAGGCGAAATTTTGTATGAGTTTATTTTACTTTCTTTAATTTTTTTCTGTTTCTCGATTCCTTCATTTAAATTTTTTTGATCCTCCTTTTAAAACACTTTTAGCATGTTTCCAGCTCTACGGGCACGCTAACGAAAGCTATGACCCAAGATTATAATATTATGGGAACTGATGGATCTTTTGAATCTATTGATAAAAGTGTTTTAAGTTCCGAGGCGAGTTTTGAACCGTATGAAAATCATCGAAAACCATCAGAGAAAAACGAATACTATTCACCTCAAAAGTTAACTAATATGAATGAATATGTCACTAGTACTAAGACTGCATCTACAACATCGGCTACTCCTCAACGAATAGCTACAATTGGTTCAGCTTCCAGAGCGAGCGCTAGTCGTGGGAGGGCAGCTGTTGCTGCCTGGTCTGAGCATCGTCCTAATGAATTTGAATTGTCTTATCGCAATGAAGGCTTCAGAGATAATTCCACTTACTCAGGTACTCGCAATAATTCAGTGAGCACCAGTATAGCTGAGGACACGCCAATTATACATCAAACTGATGTCGAAGAGAGCAGTGGTTCCGATTATTATGGCAATGCTAGTACATTGCCTTTACGTCACGAAACCAACGACAGCTTAGCCTTCCTAACCCAACTGAAACGTAATGTAACACCTGACTCTTTAGGACAGGATAAGGCTACGACAACATTTCTTCCCCCATCTTCGACGGTAAAAAGACCGTCTTTTCTAAGCAATGATTCTCATGCGGAGAGTTTGACTTACGAACAAAAAATTGATAATTTAAATTTTAGTTCTTTTGCCGAATTGCGTAGTCAACCCAATAAAAGTTTACAAAGTGTAGATATCCGACGACCCGACTCATATTTAACTGCCGTGACGGCTAACCGTCTATCCGGCCGTCCCTCCAATCTGTCGCAGAGCAACGCAGCTCAGTTAGAAGCACAAATATCTTCTTCTATATTTAGTAGAAGACCGAAAACGGTGTATGAAAATAGTGAAGGCGGCGACACTGTTACCGCCTTAAAACCTTCTGAACGTCAATCTACTTATCATCAACGATCACGTTCAGAAGTTTTGTTAGAGACTGATCTTGATTTGGATAATACCCAACCCATAGACGCGAATGGGCGATGCCATAGTCAACCCTTAGAGACTTCCATGTAACAGGTTGTCAGAACAATGATATTTCATTTTGAAGCGATGATCTCTTTTTTGTACGTGTGTTTGACTGCACACATGGGCAAACGAACGATTAGTTGTGAAGTCTCTTCATCAATGAGATTATGTCAAGTCCTTGCAATCACTTTGCCACTTCTTTGTTTTTTCATTCTTTGTTTTGTTGTAGAATTTAATTTTTTTTTTTTTTTTAATTTGGGTTTCAATTTCATCGAGATTGTAGTATTATTAGCTAAACAATTCCATCCATTTTAGTTTTGTAAGTTTTTTTGTTTTTAATTAATTTATGAAATTATAGCTTTTAGCCAATTAACCTAAGATTGTATATATATAAATTATCGTATAAGTTTGTATGTAAACTTTATTGTAAATAATGTTTAACTAAAGTAAATAAAAAGCAATTTGAACCTTATCTCTTCTTCTCTATCCCTTTCTCTTCCCGATCGCTATTGCTTAGGTGTGAACTGCTGTTGTCTTATCGTCGGTTAATTTTTTATTGAATGTCCCGTACAACGGCGGAATCTTGAGAATACGTATTGAGATTATGTTCTAAAAAAACGCTCACAATACGTTCTGATACCTATAACAAATACTTTTGTTTCTCCTTTCAAAAAATTCTGAGAATCTTCGTTTTCAAGCAATGGATTGGTTAAGGAGCTTTAAATAAATGCGACAACAAAAATTATAACTAATGAATAGCTGTAGTAATGCGGGGAAATCCTTCTAGTACCTGAAAATACATCTTTCAATCTTGTCATTAGTTCAATTGTAGAACAGTAGGATTTAATTTATAAAGTTGTGGACAAGTTTTCGTTGATGTACGAAGAGTATAAGTACCGTTAACGTCTGGACTATGCGTGCATCTTCGCAATGCTTTAATCCCAATTTCTGGACGTGATGACAAGTTCATGAGGATAATGTTATAATAAGCAAATCAAATATCACATAAGTAATAAATGGTTTCTTTAGTTGTTACAATAAACATGAGAAGTAGAAAAGTATTAATAATGAAAGTATTGTTCTAAGAGAAAGTTATTCTGTGCAAAATTTCGAAAATTTTCGATTTTCTGCGCTTTCCAATCCGTGACCACCCAACCACGCACGTTCAAATCTCAGTCAGGTAGAGCACACTCGCTCGCCGCAGTGTGTGCTCTATAAAGTCGGTAGAGGCATAACACTTACCGTTGTATACATATCTACTAGGCGGCGGTTACTCCATATCTCTTTCTCTTAGCCTACTTCTACCTGATCGTCATCGTATTACAGGTACGTTTAAAAATTTCTTATAAGGACTGTTTATTTGAAGAATTGACTCTGGTAATGTGGAAAAAAGGTGTTCGAGAAAGAAGCTGTGTTCATGAACTCATTTGTGTTAAGTAAAATTGATATGTAAAATGTAAATGCACAATAATTATAGCTTATGGCAAAAGAATTAAATTATTCCTCGTAGCTTTTAAGGCATAGGCGAGCATTTGAAAAGAACGCAGCAAATAAAAGAAAATATTTTAATAATTATTAAATAATTTAAAGTATCCAATTATAAATAAATAACGGGTAATATCGGCTTTGCGGTTTAAGATAGGACCTTTATCGTATACGTGCCAATGCCTCTTAAGCGTCGTTCTCTACAATTCGGCGAGGGTCTTTTAAAACATTGTAACTGGCCTCGGCCGATCCTTTAGTAGCTTACATCCTTTGCATTAGTACAATTATTTTTCGTGCTAAAATACGCAAAGTGATACCTTATTCCCACGTGAAGGCCTCAGAAGGTGTCGTTTCCAAAAAATAGACCTTCGTAGTCCTAATTAGTTACGGTTATCTTCTCTTATTTAAATTTACCATCAAATTACTATTGAAATATATTAACAAGTGGCAGCACTGAAGTGACAACTGGTGCAAAGTTAGCCACACGTAGGGTTTTTTAAAAATATTATTTTTTGTATGATTGGCAAATATTTGAATAAAAAAAGTCGACTTTCGGACAAAAAAAGTCGATCTCTTATTAATAAAAAAATGCTTAAATAAAGTTATTACGTAATTCTGCAGATAATGTTACTTCACAGTCATGGTGAAATATTCAAATAAAAAGAAAGCAAATCGTAGGAGTTATGTCATAGGACCTTTTGAAAAATCGGATTTCGAGAAAAATGGTTTTAAGGTTTTTCGTATGTTTTTTTGTTAGAATAAATTTTTGTATTTTTTTTTTTCAATTAGTCTGCTACAGATTGCAACGATAAACTAGGGTTCTGATCCATCGTCACTGAGACTCGGTAAGCATGCCTATGTGTGAATTTAAATCAACGTTTGAATAGTAATGTTCTTTGTTCCTGTTTTTCATATAATATTCTTTTTTTTTGGCGTATGGTTTGATGGACAAAAGAGCTGGGAAATGTGACGCCCATATGAATTGCTTAAACATCGATATAGGGCCAAGAGCTCACAGGAGATAGCAAACTTTGGCGAATTAAAAATTCATTTAAGACTTACTTGTGAACAAAACTGAAGGAAAAAGTTTTTTTTATTTTTCAACAGTAGGATGAAAACAAAATTTTACAAAAATAATTTACAATAGATAAAATATTTATAAATTAAAATCTTATAAAAAAAGTTGCTTTCAACTTTAACTTATAACACGAATAGTGTTGCAGCAGGTTGACACTGCACCCAAAGCTGGCAATAAGTAACAACAAAAATAATGCTAGGTATTTAACAAGTGAGGATTGAGACTAAACGAGTAAAAATGGAACGATATGAACTTTGAAAAGCAATTTAATTGTCACGATTTTAATTGTATTCAAGTTATTTAATACATATCAAGAATTCTTATTTAGTACACAATTACAATTCTCTCCATGTGAGTAGCATTTCATTTGATTCATTTTGTGAAGACTAAGAGATACGGATACCGATTAAAAACTCAAGCGGTTTTTTAAAACGCTTTAATAATTTGAAAACAATTTAATTAAGTATTAATTTTCACTAACAACAAGCAAACAATCAATTTTAATTACAAATATCACGAATAATAGCGTAAATAAAGCGTGTAAATAACTACGTGTCAATGTGCAATATTGATGAATTTGTCAAATGGAGTAGAAAGGTGCATTGCTTTTAGTACATTATTATCAAACCCTGGAAATTGTGAAATTTTCGCTTTTATTAAATAAAATGTTTCAAAACAATATCAAAAGAAACCTTTTTCCGATTAACGAAATCGAGTAAGACAGGAGTTGACTGTGCATAGATTATAAAATAAAATTTTTACGGCAAATGTGGAGAGAGAACAAGAAAGAAAAGAAGAAGAAGAAGATTAAAATATACGCAAATAAAAAAAAGAGATTAAATAACGAGAGCAAAAATGGAGAATGCTGAGCTTTATTATAAATTGAAGCTCGGCACATGAAAATTCTCCAGCAGGTTTTTGGTATTTTAGTGTGCGGAGCGTGTCGGCAGAAATGTTGCAAAATTTATGGGCTTTTGTTGTTTTACGCTAAAATCTCTCTCTTCACATTTTTAACCATAAAATACTAGAAAAAGTAGTAAATGCGGTTTAAATTCAATTGTAACTGAGGAAGTGAGTGCACAAAAAAGTAAAAATATAAATGAAAATTTTTTTAATCTCAACTCAAAGTAAGATAATAACAGAAATAAATATAATTATTTTGTTTTTGCAACAAAGAGAAATAAATCTAAAGTGTAGCAAAAGAAAGCAAAGTAAGTGTTTCAATCACAATATGAAAAAAGTGTATTTAAAAAATTACATTAAAGAATTTTTTTCCTTTCCATAATGTATGCGTAAAATAAAGTATATATACGTATATATATTTATTTATATACATATATATATATATATATATATATATATGTATGTATCTATGTATATATATATATATATATGTATATATATATGTCTCTCTATATGTGTGGGTATCTATTTATAAGGAAGAAAAATTACAATGAAATAAATGAAAAAAAAAAAAAAAAAAAATAGAAATACTATACACTACTCGTCGTCGTGCATTGGGCGCATTGGGCACATACATTGTGTATAGTACTAGTACACACGTCAAGCGCGTAGTAGTAATTTGTATTTTTCTCGTATAATAATATCATGCACATAAGTGCTCATACATGCAAACACACAAACATATGTGAGTGAGATCAGCTGAATTATGCAAACGAACTGAACGGACTGGTTAGTGGCTCTGTTCAACAACACAATACGAAATTGTCTAGTGTAGTAAGCTATAAATATGAGAAAATAAAAACAAAAACAACAGTGCAATCATGCTTTACAAGTTGTTTACTTAAATGAGAGAAATTCCGAAAAAAAAAAAACATCAAACTATTATTCGCTTTGGAACGAATCTTGGATACCTACTAACAATGATGGCGCTTTAAACGAGAGCGTCAGTGGTCCGATCGGGGCGTTTCGAAATCAAAAACCCATGCATATTGATTATTAAATTTTTTAAATCAATGTACATTGCAATCGCCTTATTTACTAGCGAAAGCTTTCAGCTATTGTGGGGGCATGTTAAGAGAAGTGAACTCATTATTAAATCATTATTAAATCTTATGTGTTTGGAAGTTATTTAAAAAAAGTCATGTTCAGCTTATGAATCTAATTTATTGACATAAGATCAAGTTTCCATAATAGAATCGAAGAATTCTTACGCCGCGAACAAAATAAAATAGATAGGGAGGGAGGGAGGGAGAGTGTGTGAGATTAAAAGAAGAAGAAATATAAAAATTATTACAAACAACCTATATTCGGACCGCCTTCGCGCGAATGAAAATGTTTATATACGCAACCAACGTCTCACCTAGGAAATCCGGTAATCCGATAATCCGTCATAACTATCTGTATAAGTGACATCAACATATTTACCGAATTTTTTTCGCTTTTAATATTATGTTACCTAAAGGTAATTTCACGAAAGCAATTCCATTCATTTTTGTAGTGGTGAAGCAAAGCTTTTGGGTTACCAAAAACGAGACAAGGCAAAGACCATGGCCCTTCAATTATTCAAATTCAGGGTTTCCTGAATATTAACTGTTTTTAAATGGGTTTTCGAAAATATAAATTTTGTTTACAAATGCATTACGTTAAAAAAGACAAATTGAAAATACAAAATAGCATAATTGTCT